GGGGCGGCTTCACGGCCTTAGAATCCGTGAGTTCAGTTCGATGGCTGTGACTACGACGAATCTGCTCCTGGGCCGGCCTGAGCCAGCTGCTTTTATCAAAGCCCCAACACGTCACCCCCTTGTCGTACTCCAGATGTCAAGATTTTTCGGTTTAAGATAGACTCCAGTTCTATCGTTAGCTTTAGTTCTAATTCTATTTTGTTACGCTAAAAAGATCCTGAGTGTGTGTGTGTGTACCCTCGTGATACATTTTTAAAAAGTGTACAATTGCAAACATGAGAAACTTAAAAAGAATTTTTCAAATTCAGTTTTTCCACATGATCTCATATACAGACTAAGATCTACAGCATCAACAAGCTTATCCACCCAGTTTCCTATCCCCAACACTTGCTGTGAAATCACTGCTTCTATTTAAATAAATGCCTTCATTTTTTTGTTGTCCTATTGATTGCTACTTCATGTTAGCATAAATCTAGGGCGAAATTGTATGAGACTTGGCCTTTTTGGATGGCTATCAAGGCAGGCCCTGGGAAACGCTCCTCTGAGGAAAGAACAACATTTATTTTTAATAAGCTAAGAACTGGATCATTATGTATCTTCTTCCAGGTGTAGGACATCACTGCCCAAACTTCTCCAACCGACCTATTAACAGGTATTTATTTGAGAACTTACTACTGTCCCTGTGCTAAGCGAAGCACTTTGAAATGTGCAAAAGAAATGTTTCCTTCTGGAGAGGAACCCACAATCAAATTGGAAGAAGAAAACTAATAAAAAACAATTTGGAAGCAATTAAAGGCAAACTTGTATGGTGCTTATTTGCTTTCTGTTTCATTTTGGAATATAGTTCTTCTAGTCCTACCTTTCAATTACTTTGTTTCACAGTCTACTTTTTTTTTTTTAAGTGAAAGAAGTCTGGAATAACCTTCCTATATATACATACAGGAGTATGACTTTCTAAAAATCAGGTTTCTCTATTCCTTCATTAGGAGATTTCTAGCTTGCTGGTTTTCATTTAAGATCGTTGTAATAAAAGACTCCAGGCCAAATAAATTTTCCCTAGAAATATATGTAACTAATCTTTCTCTATCCACAAAAGCCTTTTCTATAATGTCTATATTTGTTGCTTCTCACCTTTCACAAATTCTTTTTTCACACTAAATTTTCCTAGCGCCCTTAGCCAATCATATACATGTGGAATAAAATTATCTTGATACCCTAGTCTCTGTTTGTAATAGGAGAAAGATGTGAGAAGCCCATCTTTGAGTGAAAATCAACTAACAATAGAACAATGCAAATACTTCTCCTCTTGTTTATTTCCTTGGAAATACTTATTAATGACTATTCTCTTTGGAACTAGATTCCCACAATGACAATATATTAGTATATCACAGTTATATTAACTGCACACTTGTTATTTCAGATTATTATTAGGGTGCCCCACTAGGTTTATTTTCCACGCCTTCTTTAACAGTGTATACCTCAAATGGTATAGGTTTGTACATTGTTGGAGATAATACTAAGGCACATATTTTAACGTGAATGATAAACTTTTGAGAATGTAAAGAAATGGTTATTTAGTGACACGAGGGAAGGAAGCAAAGATTAAAGGCTGAAAATTAAATACCTGAAAGTTTTACATGGAATCCAGAGTCATAGCTAACTCCTAATTTGATTAATGAAAATTAAAAACGAAAGTGAATATCGGTAAGAGGGAAAAGTAACAAAGATAATTTTGGTGTAGTAAAAGTGAGAAAGGTGATCACTGAAATATGAACAATTCACTGAAATGTGATATTGCAAATTTAAGTACTTTTATACCATCCTAAAATTGTAATAATTTGAGATATGTATGCTTTCAACTTAATTGTTTGAAAATATGGACATACTATAAGTAGTGATTTTTATAGAAGTGTGTGTGTATGTATTCAGCACCATGTTGTAATTATTACATTTCCACAAAACTTATAAAACCTACAGCTCCTGATTAAAATCTGAAGTAAACCTTTCCCTAGTACCTCAAACTTACTGCTTTGGATGGTGAAAAAATCCGATATTCTAATAAATAAATAAATAAATAAATAAATAAACGCTCCAAAGGTGTTCCTGAAACACAAATAATGATAGCCACATTTTTCATTCAGCCCAGAGAGAAAGGATAAATGAAAAACTATGACTCCAAAGCTATCTCAGAACACAGGCAAGTTTGTCCCAAGCCCCTGTGATTGCAAGTAAAAGTACACGCTTTAAGAATACCTTATAGAGAATGTTTTTTAAAGTAGTGCCCACGGAACGGCCAATTTACACGAGTCTGATTTATATCTAAGTAACCTACTGCACATCACCGTCTGGGTGCTCTTAAGGACTTTCTCCAGGGGAGGGAAGATCTCAATTCTCCTGCTTAAGAACCAATGGAGCCCACCGGTGCCATATTATCATGAATTAGGAGTGGACACTGGCCACAAGCATTTTCTCAGGGCCCAGCTCACATTTCTGGCCTCAGCCGGGGAAGGTGGTGGGCCGGGACGGGGATGCGGGTCCCGGGGAAGGCCCGCGGGGCTCGGGAGCACCCGACTTCCGAGGAGGGAGGTCGGCCGCGGTGCGCGGCCGTTCCGGGACTCCCGAGACTCTCCTGCGTCTGCTCCACGGGCCGCACGGCCGGCTCTCCCCAGCGCCCGGACACCTGTGGGCGGGCCGGATGCCGCGGCGAACCGCGGGGCAGCGCGGGCTCGGGGCTCCGCAGCGCGAGGTCGCCGGGGCCCGCCCCCGACACGCCCCCATCTTGAGGTCACTTTCCTCCGTCCTGGGCTCCGCAGCGCGAGGTCGCCGGGGCCCGCCCCCGACACGCCCCCATCTTGAGGTCACTTTCTTCCGTCCTCAGACTGCGGAAGGAAGCGCCCGGGACGAGGCAGAAAACCTCTCGTGGCGCGGGTGAGGGTCGGTTTTAGTCACCTGGGCCCAGCCTCTAAAAGACTGAAGCAAATATTCTTTAAAAATCGCTTTTCTCCAGACTCTGTATGTTTTGAACATAATCCTCATGCATTTCCCCCCAAAACTTTACAGCAGATACAGTCTGCTTTTTACTAACTTAAATGTTAAAACGGTGACAGTAACATTGTTGAGACTTGTAAATGTGTTTTGGGGTCATACTCTAAGGTCATATTTTGCTCAAGATTTTCCTTAAACTTGTTCATATCAC